TGTCTTGCTGGTTTTAGAAAACTGAAGTTTCAGTTTCTTTATTTAATTTATTTTGTGCCCCTGCCAAATATTAATTTAGAATTGTCCTAACAGGCAGATACTTCACAGACACGTTTCAGTTTCATTGTATGGTGCAAGAATAAATTTTATTCTGGTTTTGAAGATGATCTGCATGAGCCAGGATAGCTCAGCCAGTTTAAAGACTAGGGTACTGATTGATGTGGACTGCAATTTGAGTCCCAGTGGGGCAGGATGTCTCTCTTCCCTGTAACATTAAAACTGGGTCCCACAAAACTATTCAGTGGATACTGGGGGTTATTCCTCTGGTATAAAGCTGCAGAGCTTGAAGGTACTCACCTCCATCTTGTGCCAAGGTTAAGAACATGTGAAAACACTTTCAGACATAATGCTTGATCTGCTTAATTAATGACCCACAACAACTTCACCTGTATTACTGTTAACTGAAATGGGGGTATTGAAAGATGTTTTGTCTGTTGAACATTAGAATTTGTTTATTGAATATGCTTGGCTATTGTATGTGGATGGCTCAAATGGAACTTGTGGAAGGTAAAACCCCTATATCCACCTGTGCAAAGGTGGTCCTTTTTGAGTTCTGGGTTCTTTAAATGGCATGATGGCTGCCTTCTGGAATGTTGCACTGTGTATGGGTGGTTGTGGGCTTGGAATGTCAAGGTTCTGACTGACAGTTCATAAGTTTTAAGAGAAGCAACTTAAAAGTCTTATAATTTGTGCAGTTGTTGCCTCGTCCCTTTCAAAGTTTTCATCATAATTAGTGGAAGTATGCAACAGCATTAACTCTTATTTTTAATTTGGTAATAAGTATGTAACATACACTAAGCTATAAGATGTAGGTTACAGTGCAATGACATTTAATGTTTCAGATTTTCATAGTGCTCAGAAAATTGGGTCTCTTTCTGTTCTTACCAAATTATTTGAAGAAAAAACGAACTGGCTAAAAATTTACATACAGTCTATTTTAATGTGTACCGAATAGTAATTAACTAGGGCATTTTATGTGAAGCATGTATAT